GGGCAGGTGGTCTCACAGGACAAGTAGATAAGTGACCCTTATGTAACACAAGATAATTATGTAGCAGGACACAGGTTAGGTAGGTAGGTGTGTGGTTTTAGGTGACACAGAATGGGTGGTAGGTGGTCTCAGATAATATAGGTCAGCTAGGTAGGTGGTCTCTGGTGATACATGACAGGTAGGTGGTCTCATGTGATACAGGGCAGGTAGGTAGTCTCTGGTGATACAGGACAGGTAGGTAGGTGATCTCTGGTGATACAGGACAGGTAGGTGGTCTCTGGTGATACAGGACAGGTAGGTAGGTGATCTCTGGTGATACAGGACAGGTAGGTAGGTGATCTCTGGTGATACAGGACAGGTAGGTAGGTGGTCTCTGGTGATACAGGGCAGGTAGGTAGGTGGTCTCTGGTGATACAGGGCAGGTAGGTAGGTGGTCTCTGGTGATACAGGTAGGTGGTCTCTGGTGATACAGGCCAGGTAGGTAGGTGGTCGTCGGTGATACAGGACAGGTAGGTAGGTGGTCTTTGGTGATACAGGGCAGGTAGGTAGGTGGTCTCTGGTGATACAGGTAGGTGGTCTCTGGTGATACAGGACAGGTAGGTAGGTGGTCTTTGGTGATACAGGGCAGGTAGGTAGGTGGTCTCTGGTGATACAGGACAGGTATGTAGGCGGTCTCTGGTGATACAGGGCAGGTAGGTGGTCTCTGGTGATACAGGACAGGTATGTAGGCGGTATCTGGTGATACAGGACAGGTATGTAGGTGGTCTCTGGTGATACAGGTAGGTAGGTGGTCTCTGGTGATACAGGACAGGTAGGTGGTCGTCGGTGATACAGGACAGGTAGGTGGTCGTCGGTGATACAGGGCAGGTAGGTAGGTGGTCTCTGGTGATACAGGACAGGTAGGTGGTCTCTGGTGATACAGGACAGGTAGGTAGGCGGTCTCTGGTGATACAGGGCAGGTAGGTAGGTGGTCTCTGGTGATACAGGACAGGTATGTAGGCGGTCTCTGGTGATACAGGACAGGTAGGTAGGCGGTCTCTGGTGATACAGGACAGGTAGATGGTCTTTGGTGATACAGGACAGGTAGGTGGTCTTTGGTGATACAGGACAGGTAGGTAGGTGATCTCTGGTGATACAGGACAGGTAGGTAGGAGGTCTTTGGTGATACTGGGCAGGTAGGTAGGCGGTCTTGGCTATAACAGGTAAGTCCTCCTCTGGGGGTCCCCGGAACATCAGACAGTAAC